AGATGTCATTTAGTATTTTTACTTTATTATTATTTTAAAAAATAATTACAATATATATTAAACTAAAATTTTTCTTTAAGTAATATTTAATTAAAAATAAATATAAAATTTTATTAATAAATTATTATATTTTATTTTATTAAAAAAAATTAAATTTTTTTAACAGATTGAAATTATTTACATATTAATTGGGGAAAGAGAAAAAGGCTCCATAATACTCAAACACACGACTCACAATAGCTGAATGACTCTAACCGGGGGTTCATGTTACTACATCAGAGCGGACCGTTCATTAAAAAAATTAAATTTATTAAAACTAAACAACAAGAGTAAAATTTAATTCAATCTTATTGTTTTTGTACATTGTCTCTGGAACAAGTTTAAGCTCCATATAAATTTGTCGGCACCTCCCAAGCCGCTGAATAATCGCTCTGAAACTGAAAGGAATGAAAATTGACCAATGGATACACACTTTCATTATTAATACTTGACCCATCCGTAAAAATGATTTTACTCCCTTCATTACTTTTAGTGAATTTAATTTTTTATTTAAGATATTTAAATTTAGTTATTTATTTTTTTTAGTTTTTATTTAATAAAATTAATATTTATCTACCTTACATTTTAAAAAATAAAAAAAATTATCTCAAAATTATATAATTTTAATAAAATATTATAGAAATGACAAAAAAATCACTATAATTCATGTTTTAAAAATAAAATATTTCAATCATTCTAAATACGAGTTTATTGAAATTACGTAATTTTAAAATAATTTTTCTTATAATCTTTAGTAAAAAGGTGAATCAATACTATTTCTTTTTTTAATACATTTATTTTTATTTGATCATCATTTTAAAAAGATAATTACAACATATATTATCTTCATTTATTTTTAATAGATTTAGTTTCCTATTTAAGGTATTTAAATCTAATTATCTACTTTTTCTTTTTAGAATATCATTTAATACATTTACTTTCATTTTATTTTTATTTTAAAAAGATAATTACAATATACACTTTCTCCATTCATTTTTAATAAATCTAGTTTCTTATTTAGAGTGTTCAAATAGAGTTATTTACTTTTTTAAATATATTATTTAATATATTTATTTTTATTTTAATTTTTTTTATTATATAAATGTTAAGTATAATAAATATATATAAAATTTTAGTTATACAAATATAAATAATATATCAAATAAATAAAAT